GAAATAACGGCAATGACCGAGGCAGGCAAGTAACAAGCAAACCGCAAAGGTATCTGCGCTCCATCCTAACATCTCTCAATAGCAACGAAATGAGAGCTGAAAGGTCCTGGTTTGAGGTTGAGCGAGAACCCGCGTGTTGAGTTGATGTTCTCAGGATATCCCGGGCAGACAGGCACGACAGGCAATCTAGATCTATACCCATGTCAGCTCTAGATTCCATATTTGCAATTGTAACGACCAGCTTCACTTTGACCTTGTTTTGCCTTCTCGCCATGCCTTCTCTCGCGATTTCAAACGCGCGCACAAGGCACCGATCTCAGCGAGAAAAGATGAGGAAGTCACGATCGAAAGCATCACATCTAGACCTAACCACCATCTAGGCCCTCCCTCAAAAGGGCAATTACTGAAAGGAGAAACCTTGGAAGAGAGAGAGAAGGAAAAAAGGTCCGAAGAAGGTTCCGCATCCAGACTGCCGAAGAAAGGTGGGCGACAAAAGAACAAGTCTCACCAAGACGAGTTGCGATAGGATGGTGGCTGACCAGGTGGTTACAGTAGCCATGCGCCACGTCTCTGCTGTGTACTTTTTCGTCCCTTTGTGACCAGGCATCTTCCGGTCGATCCACCCTGCACTGTGACGCCCCATCATCGGGCAGAAAACAACATGCAGCAGGCAGCGGTAGAAGAGCCGAAACATATATAAAGTCGCACAAATCTCCACCTGCGCCCCTCTAAAGGGGCGACGAACGACTGCCCTTTGTAGACTAAAGGTACGACGTCACACATAGATTTGCGCTACGCCGGTGGATCTGGCCGGCGACCAAGCGGGCGGGTAAAATGCACAGGGCTGCTATTCTCATCTCGAACAGATCAGGATAGCGATTCGCGATATTGTAGTATTGAGCCGGGGGTGGAATCCTGCCATATCCACTTTCCACTCGTCGGCGATCTACTGTGGAAGAGTCACCACAGTTGGGCCGCGGAGTTGGGTCGATCCGGACGGGGGTGTCGAGTCAGTCGACATGGGCAAATCGCGATCTTGAACATGGGAGTTTATGAAGCTTCTCGATAATCGTTCATACGAGGATGTTAGGTCACCGGCCTGCTGGATTGCGACTGGGGTGCGAAAGGGCGGGAACGTCATTGGACTGGGGTTCGCTGATTTGGAAATGATGCCTGACGGTTCGGCGAGGCTTCGTATAGTGGAGGCCGTGGTGTTCGCACCGTATTCCCCAGAAGGCAACTCCAAGATGTGAGGCAGCAGGGTACAGAGCACAGAGGCATCGTGAGGTCATGTTGCGAATGCGAATCGGGCAGAATACATCATGACGATGATGTTGGGCCGCTGTTGCAGTGCGCAGGCGCGATGGATGCTGCAGAGCGGGTCTATTCAGGAAAGGGAAGGTGTCGTGTGTTTGCACAGCTGTTCTACCAAGGTCCCGAGAGAAGTGAGACGAGCGTTGGTGTTGATGTCTCATAAACGTTGCTGTCATACCTGTCTCTCGCACAAGGCTGCATTAGTCCCGAACGCGAGGTACACAGCCAAATGGGTGCCTGGTTCGCGGGAGGGGAGATCAGATCAGATTGCGTAACTGGACCCAGCGCCCAGGACAAAGGGCTTATTCGTTCGGTCGCGTTCCGGAGCGACGAGCGGCCGTGTATCTACAGCAACTGTCGGCCTCTCAGGTGGGACATGGTGGGCGCCAGCCACAGCGAAGACGTCCTGCGCGCTAGTCAATTTGGGCAGGGGGCATCTCTGGCTAGCTGAGGATGTCGCGGACACCGAAGTCGTGGCGCCTGATTAGAAGATGGTGAACTCAACGTTGGATAGCGATGAAAGTCCACATGGTCTATTGCCTGTCTATTGCCTTGGACAGAGGGTTGCGATACTTTGACGGACACGTCGCGTCGTGTGTTGGCGATGATGATGGGATAATGTGACCATGAATAAGGTGACGCTTGGCAATGATCGTCAGGCAGCATGCGAGTGCAGATTGGTGGAGGGCCCTGCCGCAGGGCGGCCCAGAAGTTTGTTCCTGCGTCGCATCCCGATCAGGCATCGCACCACGACTTCCATGCATCTTCTCAGGAACAGGCTTTCCGCATCACAGGTCACGATCTCGACATGGTTGCGAATCCATCGTTCGGCGCATGGGGCGCGCCGCGCTAGGCAGTTTGGTGCTTTTTGCAACAGCTGTCAAATACTCATCTCACCGCCCTTGGCGTCTCGAAACATGCAGTTAGCTCTGCGTCCGTGAGGTGAGGGGCATACGTCCTCCCAGGCCCGTTGTCCTACGATGACAGGCAGGCGGTGAGATTGGGCCAGAGGCTGTTGTTGTTTCGAAATGCTGAACGTGCCCAGCGGCCAGATGCCCACTGTGCTTTTGGTTACAGAGTCTCTCGCTTGCCTACTCCAGATTGAGACGTTGCGCTATCTACGTCAGGTGAGCTGTCAACTCTAGCCTCTATGCCGGCGTGAGGGCTGCATGCTTGCGAGTATAGAAGATTGACAGCAGACTGCGACGAAGGTGCGGCTGAGGCGTCTGGTGTGTATCCCAAAGCGTGGCTGATCGGCGCACGCGATAGAATGCAGCAAGAGGGGTTGAGGCTTGAGTTATGCCACGTCTGCCGCCTGCGATAGGTCCACTATACGAAAGCGCCATGCCTCTAGAGATTGTGGAGTTTGTGCATGGCTGAACAGCCAGCCCCTTGGCTCAGTACACTAGGATCTGCCATGGGGCCCCTGCGCAGACGGCAACTAAAAGCAACGAACGCTGATCTGGTCTGAGCGTGAGAGGTGACGGAAACGGTAGAGCCGCAGCCATGTACCACGTTTTTGGGCGCGATCCCTGGGGTCAATCGGCGAGCGCGGCGCTATGGCGCATGCTGGGGTGGATGCCGTCCTGATTGCTGGCTAGGATACCAAGTGACGCTCGGTATATAACACTTGAGCGCCCTAGCCTTTTGGTTCAGTCAAACTCAAAGTCAACAGAGCAGCAACTACCAACCTCACATCAAGACCCTCGACCTACAATACAACTAAAGCACCCATCGGAACATTCTACCACCACCAGCCAACATGTATCAAAACCTTGGACGCACACCCAACTGGGACACTTGCTTCAACCAAGTCCAACTCACTGAGGAGAACTTACAATTACACACCGCTACACACAAGAAGGTATGTCTTGACTCGAGAACAGTTCATCGGTTCACTGCTAACGATGTCAAAGGTTGACAGCGCTTGTCAAATGGATGACCAACTCTACTACCGATACGATGGTGACTTCGCCGAGTCAGACGACGGCAACGTGGAAACCCAAAGAGAGACCATCGCCTTGAGGAGAGCCGCGTCACTGGAGGTGTTGAAGGCGTACGGTGGATGCTTCGCTTCCGGCTTCCTCGCTCTTCAAGAACCCCTCCCATCACGACCAAAATCGAAGCTCAGGTCATACGAGAGCGCGTACAGCGTCGACATGTCAAGAACCGCCTCAAACGCCACATCACTCGAGACGGCGTCAACTAGCTGGAGCAGCAACGTCGACACGCCACGACCAGACTCATCAACTCTGGGCGTACCCGTGCAAGAAATGGAGAAGGGATCAAAGTGGAGCTGGAGAGGCATGAGGAGAAGCCGAAAGCAGGCAGCAAAGAAGCTCGAAGTCTAAAAAAGTCATCTATTACCGTCGACCAGCTGGTCTTGCATTTTATTTGTCTACTTGCGTGTTAGCGAAGGCGTTGGGGTTTACGGATACCATTCAAGACTGCGCAACCATCTCTTTTGTCACGATGCCAATGGCCGAATTACCCAAAATTCTACGAAAAAGCACGACTTTGTAGTGTATAATGTATATATCACAAAAAGACAGACTCGACGAGTCGTTTGACAACCCCCACACTCTCCTACCTTGCAATGTGTGTGCTTGTGCAATGCTTCTGGTAGGCATCCGAAGACCGGCCGGCGTGCAGACGGCCGAGCTTGGAGAGCCGGAAGTGAACATCAGACGGAAAAAGTCGCATGTTGGATGAGATTCGGAGACGGCCATCAGCAGATGCAGCGCAGGTCGACGGACATCTAGATCTGCTGACCTGATGGGGTAATATTAGGCGACAGCCTCAGCTGGCCCTCGAGCTATGAGTAAGAGGGAGAGTAAGTTTTGTTCGGAAGTCACGATGGAGTTGCGGGTGTAGTGCGGACTGCTGGCTCCCGTGGGGGAAGGCCTGCAGGCTGACGGACACGCAGCGCCTGACCCCAGCAACCGAGCCAGTCACAGCAGGCGCGTCGCTCGAGGAAGGTGCGTCCGGAGTTAGGCAGGGGAAAAACAAAGGCGCCGCACACAAGGCATTGAAGCTCAACAGATGAGATTCGAAACACGCGGATTGTCGAACGAGGACATCGTGCCATGACGTACTGGTGGGGCACTATGATGAGGCGGCAAAGGTCGGCGCGCGCGTGCAAGTCGCGACGGTGATGAGGAGGAAGAAGTACCCCAGGGGTTCAGGGCAGCACGGGGCCTTTTGGCAGTCTTCGCTCAGCATCATCATGCCGCCTGGCTGTCGCATTGATAGCAGTCACGCCGCCTGCGTCTGGCACGATGCAGCTGCTTCACCGCCTGGTCTGTCATTGCCTATCGTGATAGCAGACCCACCACTGACGCCTGCTGCTATGCCCTTCTGCTGCCATCGGCGGACCTGCCGGCCTTGCAGCGCTCAAAACTGCTACCTTCGCCCGTTGCATATCCATCTTTTCTCTCCAGTCCTACGCTGCACCCGCCACCTAGACTAGCACTACCAGCATATCGTCGTGTGACCGCCGCCCGCCGTTCCCTAGATTCTGAAGCATCTTGATACAAAGGTGCCGCCCCACCCCCACCCTCGCCGTCAACCACCCTCGTAGCTAACGCTGGCCAGTACCTACGCCATACATAGCACATCTTCACCACCACAACACCCACTACCACCACACCCCCTGACTGGTGTCTTCGCCCCACCGCCCCCGTAGCATGAGCTCGCAATCTTCCAAGCCCCGCCGAACCTCGACTGTTCTCGACCCGTACGCTGCACCGCACGTCTACTATGGCGAGAGTCACTCGAAGAAGCATGCCAGAGCCAGGACCTACTCAGCCGTGAGTACCGCGCTCCTTCCTGCGTCTAATGTCATGACGAAGCTAATTAAGTACAGAACGTAGACAATTCCACGCGTAATGCTCCATTGGCCGAGGGCGCCATTGCTGGTCGTCGCATCAGTCACGGTACGTGCCTTCCACCGCACCCACGCCGCGCCATTGGCTGACAAGACCAGATGAAATCTCCCTGCAGCCTCGCCGCTTCAAGATAAACGTTGAGGAGACGCTCCACCAGCTTCTCACCCGTGAAGATTCGGACGGCAACTACCAGATCACAATCGACGACAAGGGTCCCAAGGTACGATGCTCTGCAGTTACACAGAGAGCGTGGCTGACAATACACAGACTATTTCTCTTGGTACGCTCGGCTCCAATGCCTTCAAGAAGCACGACGTCCGCGGCACCTACATGCTCTCGAACCTGCTCCAGGAGCTCACACTCGCCAAAGACTACGGCCGCAAGACCATCGTGCTCGACGAATCGCGATTGAACGAGAACCCCGTAAACCGCCTGAGCCGCCTCATCCAGTTCTCCTTCTGGGACGGCCTCACCCGCCGCATCGATGGCTCCAACATTGCGAAGGTCGGTGTCGACCCCAAGGACTGGACAGACGACCCACGGCCGCGTATATACATTCCTCAGGGCGCGCCTGAGCAGCACGAGTACTACACCCGCATTGCTCGTGAACACCCCGAAATGCGTCTCGACGTCATCTGGCTGGACAAGGACTGCGACAACGACGATTACGTGCGCGACTTGAACAAGGCACCCGGCCTGCTCGCCATTGCCATGGAGGAATGGATAGATCCAGAGACGAAGAAGAAGGACCTGAGAGGCCTGCCTTTCGTAGTCCCTGGAGGCCGTTTCAACGAGCTTTACGGATGGGACAGCTACATGGAGTCGCTTGGTCTCCTCGTCAACGATCGCGTCGACCTGGTCAAGTCCATGGTCATTCACTTCTGCTTCTGCATCAAGCACTACAACAAGATTCTCAACGCGAACCGTACATACTACCTCTGCCGATCCCAGCCACCCTTCCTCACCGACATGACTCTGCGATGCTACGAACGCATCAAGCACGAGCCTGACTCCAAAGAATTCCTGCGCAACGGTATCCTTGCTGCCATCAAGGAATACCACTCGGTTTGGATGAGCGCGCCGCGCTTAGACCCTGTCACTGGACTCACCAGGTACCGACCTGGCGGAAGAGGCGTGCCACCCGAGACCGAGGCCAGCCATTTCCACCAAGTCTTGATGCCGTATGCCGACAAGCATGGTATGACATTTAAGGAATTCGTCGATGCATACAACAACGGAAAGGTCAACGAGCCTGAGCTTGATGATTATTTCCTACATGACCGCGCTGTGCGTGAATCCGGCCACGACACCTCCTACCGTCTGGAGAGGGTCGCAGCAGACCTCGCCGTCGTTGACGTCAATGCGCTGCTCTACAAGTATGAAGTCGACATTGGTCGATGCATTCGCAACCATTTCAACGACAAGCTCGAAGTTCCAGAGGGATTCCGCACTGGCGACATGAAGCCTGGTCATATTGAGACTTCTTCCACATGGGAGCGCCGCGCTAGAAAACGCCGCGTTAATGTGGACAAGTATCTCTGGGACGAGGAGGCAGGCATGTACTTCGATTATAACACTGTCAAGCAACAACGCACCGGTTATGAGAGTGCCACTACTTTCTGGCCCATGTGGTCCGGTCTCGCCACTCCCCGCCAAGCTAGCATTCTTGTCGAGAAGGCTTTGCCTAAGCTGGAAGCCTTCGGAGGACTTGTTTCGGGTACAGAGAAGTCGCGCGGCAAAACTGGGCTTGACCGCCCCAACCGTCAGTGGGATTATCCATTTGGTTGGGCGCCGCAGCAGATGCTTGCCTGGGTCGGTATGCAGCGATACGGCTACGATGCGGAAGCCCAGCGTCTGGCCTACCGCTGGCTCTTCATGGTCACCAAGGCATTTGTTGACTTCAACGGCGTTGTCGTTGAGAAGTACGATGTCACAAGGAAGATCGATCCTCACAAGGTTGAGGCCGAGTACGGTAATCAAGGCAGCGACTTCAAGGGTGTTCCTCGCGAAGGGTATGTTTCTTCTCACCTCATTTACTAGTTCATGGCTAACATGTCACAGCTTCGGATGGGTCAACGCAAGTTACATTTACGGTCTCACGCTACTCAGCGCACACCAGCGTCGTGCTCTCGGTGCCTTGACCGATTGGGACAGCTACGCCAAAGCCATGGAGGACCTTGGCATGATGTAAACCGACTCCCGCTTACTTTGTTACGACTTCACGAGATGCATCTGCATGAGATGTTGGGTCTGCTTCCTTGTTCGTATTAGAGGCGCAGTGGAGAATGAACCTGGGTTGCGTTTATGAGGTTTGTCAGCTTGTCTGTATAGGGGTGGGGTGGACATATCAGCACAGCACGTGTATTGTTTGCAGGAAGTGAAACTGACAGGACTTTCGGTACGGTACCAGGAGTCGATCTCGGCACGATGGCTTAAGCTACACCTATGATCAAATGAAACACATCCTTAACTGTCCAATGTCTCGCTTGGCTTTACTAGGAAGGTTTCATTTCATTTCATTTCACGTCTGCTTGAAAATTACAGTACTCAACAGAAATGATTCGAGGTCCCCATTTGCATCGTCTAGCTTTCCCATTTAGAGGTTAACGTCATTATCGATGTAGTTGTTATGCATATCATTCGATGACTCGCTCTGCGCCTTTCTCTCCTTCTGCTCCTCAAGCTTGGCGTCATACTTCTTCTGAAGCTCCTGTAGCGAAGTCTCAAGCTCGGCAATCCTCTTTTTATCCTCTTCACTCCTATCATCAAGCGGCACGTGATGATCAGAATACGCGTTCCAGAGGATGTCGTACTATGTCTTGAGTTGATCGAAAGTCCAAGAGAGGTCTCGTTCGGTGGGCGGAGGGGTGGACATTGTCTGCTGCTGATGAATCGGTAGATGGTAGTTGACGAGATCGGGATATGCGAGCAGACTGTGCTCTTTATGCGCTTTCGCCAATATTTGTGCTATCATGGCAAGCGAAGTACGTCGTGAATTACACGCGTGACATAGCAAAGTGTGAACAATCGATTCGGTTGTGATGAGGTTCTCAGATGAGACTACCCTATACGTCACCAATCACAGTATAGGATTGCCGATTCTCTCATTCCTCAATCTGCTTCAGAGCCTCTTTCTGATCTTACTCAGGCGGTCCATCACACAACGGTGGCGAAGCACTTGGTTCCTTGGGCGGAACCTCCCTCTTCCCCTGCACCCTCTCCGCCTTGACAAAAACCGGGATAACACCGCCCGTCTCAAGCGCAAACGTCCTGTGCCCAAGCACCTCCAGCATACTGCCAATCGCTCCCGAATGACTGGTAAAACTCGACCACACATTGTCGTCGGTGGCGAAAACATCGTCCAGAAACGTGGCTAGGCGATACCGTCTTGCAGACCTCGGTTCCCGGTACCCAGCTTCCCAGAGGAGATCTTCGTTTGAGAATCCGGATTCGAAGGTGAGAGGTGGGTCCGTGAAAGTGGCTTTGATGTGCGCGGCTGTGCTGCGGCGATCGCATGTGTGTACGCCGAGGGCTTCACGTACGAGCTCTTTGATGAAAGGTTTGTAGGGGTGGGATGACGGAAGTGGAAGGGACTTGAAGCTCAGATTTGCTGTCTCGATTGTACGGGTCAAGGGCGAGACGTAGTATGTTTGTGGGGGTGGAATGCCGAGGGGTAGTTGTTCGGCCCACAGCTTGTTTACGGCGAGAGCTTGGTCTTGGCCTACAGTGGTGAGGTTCGCGTCGGCCCAGGTTATGCCGTCGTAACCGTCGAGGGCGGCGTAGTAGCACTTGGTGTTTATGTTAGCATTATGTCTCCTCGATAACATATGTCCGAAGAGGCATGATTCCCAAAAAGAGTAAGTGCGGGAAACTTACATCCCAAGCTTTTGTCCCATACTTTGTCTCTGCAACGTTGTGCCAACCCTGACCATGACGACCCAGAAAGAGCACTTTGTAACTCTCACCCTCCTTCTTCGTGGCTTCCAGACTGGCCACGTATTTCTCGAGGCGCTTCCATTGCTTTTCCTCACTGTCATCTTCTCCTAGGTAGGAACGGTCGATTAGACCAAACTTTTGCGTCTTCTACTATGAGCGTCAGCTAGCTTCCTCGGATCCCAAATTGAGGGGACGTGAATGAAGGGATGGAATGACTCAATCCCGCAAGTACGTAGTTGTATGTGAAGCTTGGAGAACAGGGAATTGAACGTACGAAATCAAAACTCTTGTCATCAGTCTCATCTTCGCTCTGCATGAAAACGCCCTTCTGCACCGTGTACTTGAAGTGGTAGTCCAACGCCGGCTCTGCCAGGACAGGGACCGTGGAAGTTTGATCTGTGGTACTCATGCTGAAGTAAAACAAGAAGATGAGGAGGATAGAGAGAAAGACGATGGGTCTGGAAGAGTTAGCGCAGGCACTCTCGTGGGAAAGTGCGCAGGTGAAGTTGGAAGGCGCAGTAGAGCTGAAATGGGTAGGTTGTTTACATGGGGATACCGACACCACAAATTCTTGTTTTGTGCGAGTATGAGGGTATGAGCATAATATGGAAGGGCTTCACGGGATCATGTTGATGCTGTGTTGTGAATGTAGGCGGCGGGCTGTCGATTGTAACGGTGAGCCGCTAGCTAGCACGAGCCAATCATATCTTTGGGCCGCATCACGATACATATGTCGGTGCACTCGAATCTGTCTAGCATCGGGCTCTAAGGGGTGGAGATTCGCTCGCCGCATGCGACGATACAACTGAGAGATTTAGTGCGATGCTGCGCATCATGTAGCTTCGATGACGTCAATTGCATGTTCGGAGGCAACATATTGCTTGCGCGTAGATCGTAGTTTCATCTAGTTTCTACAGCTGCTCAATGAGACTGAGCCACAAAGCCCGCGCAGTACAGGCTAGGCCGTAGCTATCGTACGCTGTCCACCATTGTGGTATTCTACCGTGATGTCCATCAAACGCCCATCCCAAGCCCGCTAATTCAGAAGAGACTTATCGCAGCCGAAGCTGACTTTTAGAAGCGGAATGCATCGCAAGATCGCAACCTGAGCGTGTACTTGCGCCCGGTCTGCGACCTTAGCAATGACCCACTCATTTCTTCTTCGGGAACTTGGGCTGCCCCATCTTGTCACCCCGTAGGATGACGTTGAGCACGCGCTCCATGTTTCCTAGCAGCTTCTGGTCTGGTGTTGCTGTGCCGCGCTCAAAGTCTGCGATGATGGTGGGTGTGCTGTTGCACTTTGTAGCCAGATCCTTTTGCGTCATAGTTGTGCCCTTGTCGTTCTTTGCCTCGGAGCGCGCCTTAGCGATGGCTTGGCCGACGGCGATACCAACGGTCTTGGGCTTGACGATGTCATCGGAACGGTCGACTTTGGTGAGGCGCTGGCCTTCTGACGAAGCCCCCTGTGGCTGGTCGGTTAGTATTGTTTTGAGTGAACTTTTGGGAATCACGAAGAACGAAGTTGTTAAACTAAGTCGGACGTGTAAGGAGTACTCACGGCGTTAGCAGAAGCGAACTTCTTCTCTGTGGCGACGATACCGCCGCTACGTTGGGCAGCGTTTAGAGCTGACTTGCCCTTGACTACGGTTTCGCGGGGTCCGGCGGCGCCGCCACGAGTGCGGCTACCGATCTTGGTAACGGAGTTCCAGTCGTCAGACATCTTGAATGTGGTGTTGAAGAGTAGAGGGTGAGGTTGTGGTTGTCGGGTGCGGAAGGCTGAGTTGGGCGCAGATGTGGGGGGGTGTCCTCTTGAAATGGGTGTTTGCTCGTCGATGGATTTGTCAGTCGGCGAACGTGGAGATGAGGAAATGTAATGTGGATGGGAAGGGCAATGTAGTAGAGAGGATTGAGCTTTTGCTTATCTAGAGGCCCAAAGAGCAATGTGTGAGCGCGATGAGTCGGAGCGGCAGGTGAGGTCACCGCCACGCGCTAAACTCGCTTAGGACAGGGTCTCTCGAAGCTTCCACGATCGCTTCAGCCCTTCAATGTTCTTCCGCCCTTCTTTCATCGAACAATCACTACATTCAACGTTCGTTTGCGATGGCTAATACGAGCGCACTCATTGTGTGTCACAGCTCATCGTTGCTAGCTACCAGTCCTTCAAGTCAGCCACTGTGTATGGATCATAGGTCGTTGACAAATATTTTTCTTTCGCGTCTCACATTGCGCTCGACGGAGTGAGCAGCATCGACGCGTCTTTATCCTTTGGTACTCTGTGTACCTACAACCTCTTCAGTATACGTCGTCCTTCCTTCTCGATGATGGACTCGTTTGTCAAAAGCAGGAAGATCAGCTACCAACCCGTTCCAAGCCCTTTGCTTGTACTTTTGACCGAATGCTTGGGTGTCTGCTCCTTATGGGCAGGCGCTGGTGCTTGGGCCGGGACATATATCAATTACAATGGAAATGTGCATCAGGATATTGCTTGAAGTTTTCATTGATGAGGTACATGTGCTAGGACGCTTAGATAAAGTGTCTATATGTGCCCTGATCGCTCATGAACTTTTGACAAAGGCTCGTCTAATCTTGACAAGCACCCAACCCGACCGCCGGAACGCCATTGCATGCATGCAGCCATATCGAACCATATCAACCATTCTTCGTGAGGTCATACTATTACAAGTTCGACTGCGACTGCGCGACCTCCCGCTCAACCTCGTACATGAAGTCAAAGTATGGCTTGTCGAAGTGGTGCACACGCACGTAACCGTCTTCTCCTCCACTGCAGTAGCTGGTTCCTTGTGGGTGTACGGCGACGTAGTTGAGGGGACCAAAGTGACCACGCACACGGCCAATTTCCTCCATGAAAATCTTGTGGTAGAAACGGGCCTCGAATTTTCCTTGACGTGCCGAGGTTGTGGTGACGTCCATGGCTGCTTGTCCTCCACCAAGAATAACGTAGTCCTTTACGGGTGTGATCGCGGCGGAGTTGAGGGGTGTGTCGGCAACGTATGATTTGAGGACGTTGAGCTCTTCGACGTCGACGAGCTTCGCGGTCTTGTCCTTGCTGGCGGTTATGAAGTAAGTTCGGTCGGGAGCCCATTGGATGTCGGCTGGACACTGTTAGCTTCCATTCCAGCCAAAGAGGTGTGCATGACACTCACTGATTTGCATGTCTGGCTCATGAACGTCGTAGTTGGAGCTGAGCAGCTCTCCAGTCTTGCCATCCCATTGAGTTATCGAGCCGTCCTCGTGTCCGCTGATGATGTATTTTGCAAGGTATGAGAAGCCAGCGACTGTGGCCTTGGACTCGTCGCATACGATCCTGAGCAGCTGCTCGTCCGACTGTTGCGCTTCCGGGTCGGGGTTGATGGGGTAGACGCAGATGGTGGAGAGATGTCCTGATCGCTTCTCGGTGACACCAAGAAGCTGTCTGCCGTCTGGCGAGAACTCGCAGCGCTTGATACTGGTGTTGAATTCCCAGGTGTGGAGAAGCTTGCCTGTCTGCACATGCCATAACCTCATGGTGTTGTCTGCTCCACCGGTAGCCAGAAGCTCAGAGGATGGGTTTACGTCGACCGTCCATAGCGCTCCCTGATGTCCGTGGTATGTTCCGATTCGCTCGCCGTTGTGTGAGTCTGCATCGCATCAGCTTCTATTCGCATTCCTCTTGTACAGGTTGTTTACTAACACCAGGCGCAAACGACGTGGTCCTACAAAAATCAGTTTCCGCGCATCACAAGACCGGGAGAAAAACGTACCTTGGATACGGAGAAAATGATATCTCCATCTGCGTTGTACTGTATGCCATTAGTTTCCTCGTCCCTCATCCTACGCACGGCGCATGCGAACCTTGACTTGCGTGAGCGCACGCTCGTGACCGGAGAGAAGAATGGGCCTCATATTTGTGATGGGTGTGTGGAGGCGGGGTGGTGTGTCGGCTTATATGTGGCGGGCGGCGTCTCGAAATTTGGGTGACTCTTGTGCATATCGACGTTCAGCGGGCGAAGTGGGCTGCTTGGCGCTAGCCGACTAGCGGCTTTGTCCCGCAACCATAGATGAACCGCTGTGCTGAACATCATCTCTCCGCATTGACTCAGCTCTTCATTACGAAAGCCTAGTGACGATGCATATTGGGCTGGGACTAATGCATATTGGGCTGGGACTATGGGTAGGGTTCATGTCCGGCTCAACGATGCTTCCTGGGGTGACTCACAGCAGACCATCTCCGCCTCCATGTATTCCGATATCAGCAAGGGGTTAGCTGTGTTATGTACCAAGGCACAGCCTTGTGACTCATAGCGTGAACGGTTCGCAAGTTGGTAAGATGCTTTCATTTCTTGGTAATTGAGCTGGTAAATCTGATTCTGGTGAATCTCGTCAACTCTTCACGACTGTCGATCTCAGAGTTATTGTATCCGTTTCTGTTCGAATCATTCATCTAGCACAACACTCCAGCGTTCTAATCACTTCGTTGGAACGCTAGAACAGCGTACAGGATAGATACCAGCGCGCGTTTCCCGCGCCTGCAGTATTCTGAAGCTCTCGTCTCCTCAAAATCACCATGGATACTCTCTCGAGAAATACTTGTATTGGCACCGATCTCCTAGATTGATGATAGTCGAGAGCCTCAAAGATGCCAACATGCTGCAGACTGCGATCTCACCTAGTCTACTGGTCACTGTGCTACTGTCAATCCAAATACATAGGCGCAGTGCTGTTTCTCCCCTTCGTCTATTGTGTGATCCGCATACTTTTCACTGTCACGTTCACTTTCACCGACAATGCTAAAGTCGTGCTCTCCGTTTGTTGCGAGCGCAGTCTTGGCGCAAACGCGCTGCTCCTTCCACCTCGCGGTTGGCAAGCCCATGATACTACAGCGCGACTTCCCAAATACGCCAAATTCGAATCGCGGATCTCGCGACCTCCTCATACAGGAAAGGAACCCGAGAAGGTTTGCAGACTACATTAACATGAAAACAAGCGAAGCAGCTGCCTAACCTCGATGTAGGCTCCACATTGTTTAGTTCCCCACCTTCAATATGGCTTCTGCAGCGCTTCCTCCCTCTATCATTACAGCTACGCTAGGAAGACTCAGGCCTTTACCACCGGATAAGTACATCATGACCCTGGGTCAAGGCAGCGATCAGTTCCTCGGTACTCCCAACGGTTACAGCGCTACGTATCTACCATCCAGGCTGTTCCAAGCTGTCGGCGCAGGTCGGGGTCTTGTCAAGAAGATCACATGGGCCTCGTATGGCAGCAGACCCGAGTCTTGGTTCTTCGTCTGGGAGCCTGAAGACGGCACAACGCACTTCATGGTCGGACCTGATGTCCCATCAGCGCTCAAATCCTTCATCCAGACCATACAGGATTCCGAACACCTCCGGTCCGGTCTCCGAGTACAGCTTGGCGCAGCCGATTCGTTCGTAGCATGGTCTGGCACGGCATGGGTATGTGCGGATATCCCAATTCAGCTCCAAGCCAAGCTACAAGAGGGAAGTTCCGGATTCCGCGAGGGCAAGGGGATCACCAACGGCTCATTGAGGGGAACCTGTACGCTAGACAACGTCCAATGGAATGCCAACGGGTCATACTATATCAAGAGCGGGGACCGTCATCTCTGGAACTTCGAGGCTAAGCTCATGAGCATTGAATGGAACAAGCTTTGGGGAGGCCTGGAACGGGATGAGCGGATGCGCAAGATCATCGAAGAGCTCGCTGTGAGTATGCACATGTGCTATCCTATATCGCGACTAACATGTCCCAGTACGTCTTCATTAGCCCGCATGCGGAAAACGGCGAGACCTTCGTGTTCATCAAGAAACACTCGGTAGGGCTGGACGCGCCGTTCGTTGTTGGCTTCGAGAGAGAAGCTATCCACACCAATCTAGAACATACCAACAACACTTCTACACCGAGCAGTTCCCGTTCCGGCTCGGTCAATGACAACGAGTCCGGTGAAAGCAAGCTTCCTGCGCCCGCGCCCGAACAGCGTGTGCAGCACATACCGGGAAAGCCAGAGGAGCCTGTACCCTTCCAGTGGGCAACCGTCAAGAAGTCTGGGCGACCGCACAAAGCAGACAATTGGGAGGTAGAGCTCAGGAAAGGCGACAAAGTCAAGGTCATCCGCGACGAGGGTCGTGACTGGTTCGTAGTCATCGACCGGAAGGGTGTCAAGGGTTATGTGCACGGCTCCTGGATCAAATTTGGCGACCTCACAGTGCATAAAGACTCCAAGGCAGTATACATCCAGTTTGAACAAGACCTACAAACGCTCCTCATACCCGGTCAGCTACAGCGATTCCCAGCAATGACAAGCTACGTCGACGAGTGTACCAAGCCGGACTGTCAACCACTCAAGGAAGCCGTCTCGTCATTGGGGATCTGCCTTCACGATCTGTCGGCACTGCTGCAAGGTTCCGGGAAATACTCGTACGAGTGGCTTAAAGAGACGCGGAATCTCTGGCACCCGGACAGGTTTGCCCGCTTCTGCCATGCAGATCAGGCGGAGGATCTCAAGCTCAAAGCAGAGCAGATGTTTGTCATGTATGGGATTCTGATGGATGCGACCAAGGCCTAGAGACTACATTGAGATGTAGACACGCAAAGTGGGTAACCTAACGTCGATGTAGGCTCCAGGGTGGTCGGTTTTTCCCTAGGTTGACGTAGCTTTGTGGAATATTGCGGACCCGCAGAGCATAGTACATGAATACACAGGACAACCCAGGCGGAGAAGATGATAGCTACAGGCAGGATTGGTTTGGTAGCAGTACAATGAACCATGTTCAAGAAGTCGCGTTGCTTGTTTTGCCCGTTCGGACCTTAGCACCCTGGGTGGTACGTAATAACGCACACGCGAGTCGCGGAGCAAAAGTTTGGCGTCGGCGGGCTCTGATCTTTTTCCGGGGTCCAGAGTGCTATCGGACGCGCCAGACTGAGTCATTGGAAACAGACATAGAAATGCGTATCAACACGTCGCGCCGTGCATCCTAGACTTGGTAAAGATACGCAGACAGGATTGGTAGGACGATGAAAGTATATCCGATCTGCGGCGGACGCGTTGGAGTTCTCGCCCGTGGCTTTCCGCAAGCTGGAGCTACCCCGCTGAGAAAATATTGGTGCTCGACTGCTCCCCGCCAACTATATACCGTCGTCAAGACTGCGCAGACCTCCAGGCACTTCTCCAGCACACGCTTCATCATGGCTGGACAGAAGATTGACGGCACCGCCATTGCCAAGAGCATCCGTGAGAGGCTCGGCCAGAAGATCAAGGAGAAGCAGGAGAAGAACCCGCGATACCGCCCGAGCCTGAAGATTGTCCAGGGTGAGTCGCATCCCATTGCGGCGGGCTGATTGAGGCAGAGTGCTGACACGCGACAGTGGGCGACAGGTCCGACTCCAGCACCTATGTGCGCATGAAGCTCAAGGCCGCCGAGGAGGCCAACATCGACTGCGAGCTCGTCCATCTCCCCGAAGACCTCACCGAAGGCGAGCTGTTGTACAAGATCTACGAGTACAACAACGACCCCGCCGTCCATGGCATCCTCGTCCAGCTGCCCCTCCCCAAGCACATCTCCGAACACACCATCACATCGGCCGTCGCCGACGAGAAGGACGTCGATGGCTTCGGCATCCAGAGCATCGGTGAGCTGGCCAAGCGCGGCGGCAAGCCCCTCTTCACCCCATGCACGCCCAAGGGTGTCATGGTTCTGCTCGAGGAAGCCGGTATCGACATCTCAGGCAAGAACGCTGTCGTACTGGGACGCAGCGACATTGTGGGAAGCCCCGTCAGCTACCTGCTGAAGAACGCCGACGCGACCGTCACCGTCTGCCATTCGCGTACAGCCGATCTACCAGAGGTCGTTCGCCGCGCAGACATCGTCATTGCTGCTATCGGCAAGGCGCAGTTCGTCAAGGGAGACTGGCTTAAGCCCGGTGCCGTCGTTATCGACGTTGGTACCAACTTCATCCCCGACGACACCAAGAAGAGCGGACAGAGGCTGGTAGGAGACGTCGACTACGACTCCGCCGTCGAGGTAGCTTCGCACATCACCCCGGTACCTGGCGGTGTAGGCCCCATGACCATTGCCATGCTGCTACAGAACCTCGTCGACTCGGCCGACGCGACATTCGACAGGCAGAAGAAGCGCAAGATCTCGGCCCTTCCCATCCGCATCGAAGACCCCATACCCGCCGATCACGAAATCTCGCGGAAGCAGCACCCCAAGCAGATCACAACCGTAGCGAAGGAGGTTGGCATCCTGCCATACGAGCTCGAGCCATACGGCGCAACAAAAGCCAAGGTCGATCTGTCCCTGCTGAAGCGACTCGAACATCGCCGCAACGGAAGGTACGTCCTCATCGCCGGTATCACTCCCACGCCGCTCGGCGAGGGTAAGTCGACCACCACAATCGGTGTCGCGCAAGCATTGGGCGCGCACCTTGGCAGGATATGCTTCGCCAACGTGCGTCAACCCAGCATGGGGCCGACTTTCGGTATCAAGGGCGGCGCTGCTGGTGGAGGTTACAGCCAAGTCATCCCCATGGACCAGTTCAACCTCCATCTTACTGGTGACATCCACGCCATCACCGCCGCGAACAACCTGCTTGCCGCTGCTATCGAGACGCGCATGTTCCACGAGAATACTCAGAAGGATGCTGCTCTGTACAAGCGTTTGGTTCCAGCCAAGAAGGGCAAGCGCGAGTTTGTGCCGGTCATGTTCCGTCGTCTCAAGAAGCTCGGTATCGACAAGACGAACCCAGATGATCTGACCGAGGAGGAGATCTCCAAGTTCGCCAGGCTTGACATCGACCCAGAGACCATCACCTGGCGACGTGTGCTAGATGTCAACGACAGGCATCTGCGCAAGATCACAGTTGGCCAGGCGCCAACAGAGAAGGGCCAGACTCGCGAGACTGGCTTCGACATCTCGGTCGCCAGTGAGTGCATGGCTATCCTTGCGCTCAGCAAGGATCTCTCGGACCTCCGTGAGCGTCTTGGTAGCATGGTCGTTGCCAGCTCACGCGCTGGTGATCCCGTTACCTGCGACGACATCGGTGCCGGTGGTGCCCTAACTGCTCTGCTTACTGATGCCATCAAGCCCAACATGATGCAAACCCTTGAGGGCACTCCTGTCTTCGTTCACGCTGGTCCCTTCGCAAACATCAGTATCGGTGCCTCTTCCGTCATCGCGGACAGGCTTGCCCTCAAGCTGGCCGGTACCGAGCCTGATGAGGACCACGACGCCCAGACCGGATTCGTTGTGACCGAGGCTGGCTTCGACTTCACCATGGGTGGCGAGCGCTTCTTCAACATCAAGTGCCGCTCCTCCGGTCTCGTGCCCGACACTGTTGTCATTGTCGCAACCGTCCGTGCTCTCAAGAACCACGGCGGTGGCCCAGACATCAGCCCCGGCGCCCAACTGCCCGAAGTTTACCGTACTGAGAACGTAGACATTCTCCGTGCTGGTTGCGTCAACCTCAAGAAGCACATTGAGAACGCCAAGCAGTACGGTGTCCCCGTCGTTGTGGCCATCAACCGCTTCGCGACGGACACCCAAGCCGAGATTGACGTGATCCGCGAGGAGGCCATCGCTGCCGGCGCCGAGGACGCTATCCCAGCCAACCACTTTGCGGAGGGTGGAAAGGGTGCCGTAGACCTTGCAGAGGGTATCATCAAGGCCTCTGCCAAGCCCAAGCCCGACTACAAGCTTCTCTACGACGTCAACAGCGGTACAGTACAAGAGCGCATGGAGACCATCGCCAAGAAGATGTACGGTGCTTCCGCTGTCGAGTTCTCTGAGCTCGCCCAGAAGAAGGTCGACACCTACGTCAAGCAGGGCTTCGGCAACCTGCCCATCTGCGTAGCCAAGACACAGTACTCTCTGTCTCACGACCCTAGCCTCAAGGGCGCCCCAACTGGCTTCACCGTTCCCATCAGGGACGTCCGCATGGCAGCTGGTGCTGGATACCTGTATGCGCTCGCAGCGGATATCCAGACTATTCCCGGTCTGCCCACTGCTCCCGGATACCTCAACATCGACGTCGATGTTGAGACCGGCGAGATCAACGGCATGTTCTAGACTATGATGGAACGAAATGTTTACAACCCCGAGTGAAGCGTTCAACAAGCTTCATTTGGAACAATCATGTATGATGAGACGACGATTGGCGTTCTTCGGCGCACTAGGCATGTTCAACAGCATCTGGGTGGGCTTCTTATTCAACACATATTGGGACGGTATGCATAGCGTTTGGTATGGCGTCGAATCAACTTTGACGGTTTCCTGTTTGGAAGGGTGAATTATTTACCTTGAATAGAGAAGCATACTTCATTTTCACGATTTTATGTTGCTGACGCACTATGCAAAAGTAACTCATGTCATGGGAAACTGAATGAATTGCATATCCACAACCGGCGCTCCGCATTCTGGGATGAAATAACAAACCTGCAGTCCGTACAGGCTTGCCACTACAAACGTCGACTTAGTATGTATTTAGTCAATCAAGGTACGCTGGCCCTTGTAAAGCATATCCTTCAGCGGTTGATTATGGATCTCACTGATGTCGTCTCAGAAGCAACCAAATCCACTAAGCCTACGATCATTGGCCTCTATGGCGCTTCTGGAAGCGGAAAGTCGCATTTACTTGAGCAGCTCAGAAGCGGCACCGGCTTTGGCGTCTTCAAGAAGAAAAGATTCGCCCTCTTCGAGAGCTCGGCGCTCATCGGAAAAGTCGTGGACGGCGGACTAGCGGCTTTCAACCAGCTGAGCCAAGCGGACCAACACGACGCTCGTGGCCGAGCTATCTTGAAAACTGCTGCTACATGCGTGAAATCGAGAAAGACAGGGGTTATTGCTGCCAACTACATGATGTGGGAGAACGAACACGACGCACCAGAGATACTATGGACATCGAAAGATTCGGAAACGTACACACACACCGTATATCTTAACTTCGATGAAATATGGATCTCGAAGCGCAGAGAAAGGGATGCCGAGAGCAAGCGAACGGCCGTTTCGGCGCAGCAGATACGAAAGTGGCAACAAAGGGAGATGCAAGAGCTCCGCGAGATTTGTCGTGAGCATGACATCTTCTTCACTTCCCTGACCGACAGCAGTCCCACTATTTGGGAAGCACTGGGACAGCGCAGTACCGGGAATCAACTCGCGACTCTTCTGGACGATATTCACACCTACGACGAAGCCAAGAATACCAATGCAGTTAACCATCCTATTGACACTGCGTGCGCCTCTTACCCAAGTACAAAGACAGTGCTCTTACTTGACGCTGACAAGGTACTGGCACCCGATGATACTAGACGGCTCTTTTGGGAGGAGACGGATCTTCTTACGGGCACTACCGAATGTCCTTTGAACCAGACTTTTGCGGCTTGGGGACACTCGTATGCCTCGTATCGCCAGGCCATGTTGACCTATGAAGAGAAGGCAGATGATTACAATGCCATATGTAGTAGGATCGCCGCCAGGGTTGAGATGCATCCTGAGATGATCCAACTCCTCAAACGTGTCCGCAAGGACCCGTACGTAAAGGCTTTTGTCCTCACAACCGGTCTTCGAGAAGTGTGGGAGATGGTGTTGAGGAAGCACGGCTTCGACGAAGACGAATTTAAAGTCATAGGAGGTGGACGACTTCCGGAGGGCTACGTGGTGAACGGAGCCATAAAAGGCGCTGTAGTCGACCTTCTACACGAGAAAGACCTGCGCGTAGTAACCTTTGGACAAAGTATACTCGACATTGAAATGTACGAAAAGGCAGACGAAGTATACCTTATTGCAGGAGGAGTCATAACCAACAGCTTGTCAGAGGAGAAAGCACTCACCAAAGCCATCACTGAAAACCGCATATCTGCCTTGCGCATTCTCCTCCCCTCCGCCATCGACCACCGTCTCGACTTCGATACACTTCCAATAGCCACCTTGGACAACAAAGAACTAGGCCACATTTTCCGGCACAGCAAAGATCCAGCCACCCGTGTCCATCACGCAACCCCCAAACCTTCAGCAAAACTCTTCGTAACGCCGCCGCTCGGCCAACCCCAACCCTATAGCCAGCGCTTGTATGAGTTCCACAAGCGCGTAGGTTTCTACCTGGCAAACGAATACGTCAGCAGCATCTTAGGCCAAGAACAAATCTGCATCCCAGATGGGCAAGACCCAGAGAGCCCTAGCCACCGCTTCCGTTACGAGAAAGGCACTTTAGTCAATTCCTTGTCTGACGACGGCGACGCGATAAGCCTCGGTGTTAGCGAAGCAATGCCCTGTGCAACCCTCAGTCACGCAAAGCTATTCTCAGACCTCGACACGGACATGTTGAAAGGAAAACGTCACGTCATCCTAGTCGACTCGGTGATAGATACTGGATGGAATACGGTTAATTTCATCAGGCCGTTGCGCAAGCTGTGTCCCCGCATTCGTATCGTCGTTGTGGTAGGTGCGGCTAATCCCGACGCTGCTGATGTCGAGCCGGATGCCGTGAATACTACAATTACTCACAGGTTTGCGGACGTGCTGAGAGACGACAGTGAGTTATACGTTGTTGCGCTGCCCAAGGCTCGACTGCATAGCACGGGCGAAGGGGGCTGGAATGGTAATTTGTGGTGGTATGAGATGACCAAGTGGAGGAAGGGGTCTTACTAGAAGCTGATCAAATACGTTTCACATGTCCGAGGATGAGTCCACTTCTTGTGCATTGCATTATACGTGTCTCTAAGCATGTGCCTGTTCGCGTTCTGTGTCGTCGTACGCGAGTGATTATCCACCTCAAAAGGTCACAGCAGCAGAAACGCATGCTTGAGAGTGTATCGTCATTGACAAGAACAGTAGCGACATTCCGATTACAATATATGTATAAAAACAATGTTGGGGTATCTAACGAGTGTCCTTAGCGGCACAGAAAAGAACACGAATCTCCATCTTCCACGAACGCCACCGATAGACCCCTTGATGAAAGAACACATCTAATCCCCAAGCCCAAACCCAAAACCAAACCCAGGTCTTGAAGCCTACCCAACCAAAGCCCACTTTCAAAGTCTAGCCTCCAACTCCCCCATCCACTCCTTCAACTCAACCCTCTTTCCCCCATCTTTAACAAGCACCCTCGCAAACCACCCCAAAAGATCAAGCCCAAGATCCCGACTCAAGCCCTGCACCCTCTTCAAATTCCTCACGCCCAAATCATCATGCCCCATGACCTGCAGCGGACACCCCGCCTTGATCATCTCCCTCTGCTGATACTTATTCCCCTTGAACGCATCATACGGCGAGCCACCCAGGATAAGAAACAGCAACGTAATAGCCAAGGACCAGAGATCTGAAGTCGCGGAAGGAGGAGAAGTAGACGAGGAGCTGAGCAGTGAGGGATCGAGGTAATCCCATGTTCCTGCGCCGAGGGGAGAGGCTGTGGATTCAATGGTGGCGGAGGGGTGGGAGAGGATGGTTGAGGAGAAGTCTGTGTAGATGGGTTTGGGCGCGGCGGTTGATAGGGGGGAAGAAGAGGAGATGAGGATGTTGGAGGGTTTGATGTCGGCGTGGGTACACCCTTTGTCTTGCACCCATGCCAAGCTGTTGAGCAGTGCGAGGGCGATGCTAGGGAAGACTTCAGCCAGCCTCGCTGCTCGAGCCTCTTCGTCGAGCGTGTTGAGCGTCTTTTGAATCCAGCCTTCCAGCGTGTCGTCCATGGCTTGGAGGAGGATGGCACCGTTGCGTGTATCCAGGCCGTAGAAGGGGACGATGTGGCCTTCTGCGTCGGGGAAGCGGGAGAGATAAGATAGGATTCTCGCTTCTGCGCTGAGCACCTTTTTGGCACTGGTCATGGCTGGTACTTTGACGGCGTACATGGGTGGGGTGGCGGGGAGTCGACTGAGGTCTACGCCAGAGTCTATGCTTCGGACTGGGGTGAGTGGTGGAGTCATGTCGGGGCCACAGGGAGGCTGTGATGGGGACTGTTCGGTTGGTTTGGGTGGGCAGGGTTTCGCTAGGAAAACATCGCTCCAGGCTCCTTCACCGATTGTCTTCTTCCGCCCGCGATCATCCGTCTTGAACTCATAGTCCGTTAGGTGATACGGGAAGGTGGTGAGTTCGGTGCTGCCAGGTTGCGGTGACTCGTCCAGTGATAGTCGAGGCCGGCTGAGGGACGATATCGAATCGCCACGTCGTAGACTCGATAACGAACTTAGAAAGTCGGACGATGTCGAGTTGGACTTGGAATGCGAGGCGCTGCCAGGTGTGATAGGAGGTGTGTCGGCACCACTGTTGTGCATGCTTCGGGGATCATGCGCACCCATAGTTACAGATCTTTTCCTTGTTGGAGAGGTCGGTGGTGTAGAAAGCGTTCGTACGGCAAACGGTCTTGAGAATGTCTTGTCAGACGCACCGATCGTATGATCTTGGCTTGATGCGCTGTACGTCAGCAGGTGAAGTTGGGGTTGTTGCCTCTTCTGCGTGAGTGGTGTCGCTGATGATTCGACTGCCGGCGGATCTTCCCTTGAAGCAGGGAAAGTGAACCGTGAGAGTTGCGCCATGTTCGTTTTACAGTAAGAGTTGCTTGACGATGTTCAAGTTTGACAAGTCACGCGGTAGAGTTACAGCGTGCGAGTAGCGCGTGGAGAACTGTTGCCTGAAGCTTGAAGCAACAGCGCGTGAGGGAAAGGTCCAGGGAACTTGAAGAGACGATGCGAAACAGGAACGAATTCTCAAACAAGACAAAAAACGTTGCAAAGCAAAAAAGGCGAGTGGACGTCTCTTTTTGAGCGGGGCGTGTCAAACCTGGGTCTGGAACCGAGAGATGGGAACCAACAAAGAAAGGGAGATAGTATAGTGCTACAGGTAAAGGTACACGAGATAAGAGGACGGATCCACAAGCAGGCTACCGCGCAACCTACTAGAGAGTAAGAAGCATTGTCGATGATAGTCGCAATAAAACAATGGGCGGCGCGTGCGGAAGGCCCGCAGCCAAAGCGTTGTTGGCTGTGTGTCGATGAGTCGAAAAGCGATCGGGACCTGCAAACGGGTCTATAAGCAAAGAACCGCGCTGCGCCCCGGAGTATCCGGGGACGACGGGTGGCACTCGTGGAATCCCTACCCGTACCAACGCGATAGCAATCTTAGCCAGCGCTGTTGGACGCCGATGATTCGGTGGGGGAAAGAGACAAAGCGCATCCCCTGGGAACACCTCCGTGATTCCAGAAGCCCACCCATTCACACGTCTTTCCTAGCCGGGTGGTCGCGCAGCTGGCTAAGAGCGGTAGCGCACTGATGGCGCGCTGTCCTTGGCTACGGGTCCCCAATTACTGGCCTGCGCTGGGTGAACGTGCGTGGTTTGATTGGGCTGCGCGACCTCACCATTCCCCATCCAGGGCTTGCCTTTGTGTGCGACACGTCTGGCTGCGTGCCATGCCTCGCGCTCTCTGCTTGGATGGACATGCAAAACTTGACGTTTTTGCTCGGAGCTTTTCTGGAGACTTTCGGTGCTTCTTTTCTGTGACGTCGTTATTAACACCGTGGCTGGTGGAGATGGGCTGCGGCACTTGTCGCACTTGTCACAGCCAAGTCATGAGATCGTGAAGGCTGTGGAGCTATCGTGAGTTATCGCTAGCTTGTCGTTGGCTCACATCGCTGGTGTATCTTTTGACTGCCGTCCCGTCCGAGCCACCATGACAGCGAAACGTGGAGATGAGCTGAGCGGCTGAAGATCATCTACTACATGCTGTCATCACCGAAAAGATTCATCCTGCATCGTGACCTTCGTTATACCTTCTTTCGTCAGCGCTTACTGTGAAAACTGGGGCAACTCCGCCGACGCCCCCTGCTCTGCGCTTGCGGCATCAAGCATCGTGAACAAACTACCCCGGATGAAATGCCGGTAGCTCAATAAAGTGTTTTTTGTTGACGTAGCTGAGCTTCAAGCTTTCGATCCAAGACTAGGGCAACGGGCGTGGGCTTATCGACCGCACGTATAGTTCGCAGATTGCGCTAGATGCACACGGCTGCATGTGGGGGCTATCGAGCTTGTACTGCTCAACTGCCCATCGGGTGATTCCTCAAGCCACCCGTTCACCAAAACGTGGGAGTCATCTTCAGATCCATCCTGTTGATATCGCGCACACCAGATTAGGCATGTACAACGCTGATAAGCGAAATTTGACAGCCCAATCTACCAACCTCGAATAGCCGCCATGCACGAGAGTGGAGCCCGACCAAACCTCACGCTGCGAACCATCTGATCTGTATACTTAGGGGTTAGCCATCCTTCGGGTCAAAAACTTCATCGCTCAAATTTGCTTCTTATCAAGTCCACGGTAGGCGCAAAGGGAGAAGATAGATCAACTTGGATAATCGACGATTCATTGCTCTGCTACTCTGTCTCCTTCTCACCGAGCCACCGCCGATCGACTGTCCGTCCTACGCTGGACCACGGTACTACGCTACGAACAGAAACGCTGAAGGGAATTGGTAATAGTCTTCCGCTGCGCCCATTGCTTGAACAAAGGAGATAAGGACACCCAGACACAAAGAGAAAAGAGCAACCGATGAAGTGCCAGGGGTAGAAAGACTACATATATACGAGATGGATATAGGTATTATCATCCTCCATGCTGTTCAGTCAACGGAAAACCCAAAAGTACCACTCTCTGCCCAACCGGATACAGAGAGACTGAAGTAAAACGCCGGCTTCATGATGGGTAATCGTGTGATTGCGCCCTCTGCACTGATGCCATGTGAACCCATTTCGATTGATGATTACAGTATATTGGTGTGGATACCCAAGATATGCACAAAACGCATAGATAGCTCAGAACCTATTTTGTTGATTTTGATGTTGCTGCTGCTGCTGCTGAGCGACTGAGGAGCGATGATACGAATCGATGATTTGACCCACCTGCTCCTCGTGCTCGCTCTGGCGTCAATTATCGTATCCTGCGCCTCGTTGCCATGGGCTTGAGGTATTGGCCTGTCGGTACTGTTGTTGACCTTGGCCATTGCTACCAGGACGGTATGACGGTGCTGGGCTGCGGCGCTCGTAGAAGGATGGCGGTGCTGGTGAGACAGTTCCGTCATTGCCCTGGCTCCGTGGTGGCACGGCAGCGTAGTGCTCGTTGAAGCCGCCCTCCTTAGCAGCCATTTGGCGCTGCTCTTCGGAAGAGTAGTCGTCATCGTCATCAATGCGGCTTCGTGATCCGGTGTATGGGTGGGTGCCCTTACCCTCACCACGAGCAGTCGCACCGAGGGCATCGAGCTCAGTAGTCAATTGGGTTTGCGACTTGATGAAGGAGCCACGGTCGTCGCGCATTGGCTGGTAGCGGGTATCAGGGTTCTTGGTGAACAGAGCGAATCCAGACGAGACAAGTAGCATGAGAAGGAGAATCAGAGCGAAGGCGGCATTAATGATGAAGAAGATGACACCCATGACACCAGTGACGATAGCCTACAAACGTTAGTCGAGAACAGTGGTAGAAGCGAGCGCTACTTACAGGCTGGTTGAAGATTTCGGTGAACATCAACAAGAAGAAGGCGCTGAGGAAGTTGACAGCAGCAATGGCAATGTTGAAACCGTTGGTCTTCTTGTCCATCCAGGGACGAAGGACACATACACCGACAAGCAGAGCAGCCTCGATAAGAACGATGGCGATGGCCTGAAC